AGAGAGAGAGAGAGAGAGAGAGAGAGAGAGAGAGAGAGAGAGAGAGAGAGAGAGAGAGAGAGAGAGAGAGAGAAAGGGGGGGGCACGTGCTACTTCGTTTCTTCTTTGCCTCATGCCTTCCAGGAAATGTTCCAAGATGCTCGCCCGGCATTATGGTTCCCATGTCAATGCTACTCCCGACAAGTCCCCCATGCGAAGAGCATTTGCCAAGCAGATTGAATGCTGATTGTTTCATTCATACAATGCAAAACCCCTGCTTAACATCAGTGGCTGGCACTCCTATAGTTGGAGGCGACTTCCAACAACTTCCCCGAGCCAATCATCAATGACATCATTGGAGCCCACCAAACTGAGACTCACGGACACGCGCATGCACTTGCACACGTAGAGTCAAAACTCAGCAAGTAAGCACGGGGCATACATGCAAGATTGCTTTATCACAAACATATTCAGAGAACATAGCAAACAAAAGTCTGAATCGGAATCTTTAGTAAAAACGTCAACGTGACAACGGACAGGATTTTCTCATAAAAGTTCACAGTTCTTGCACAGCACAAAAAAAAAAACGATGCTGCAAAGGTAGCGGCTTCCCAAACAAAACACTCGCAGATAAAGAAACAAAAAAAGTTCGGTGGTATTCACTCCTATTTCTTGCACGCGGATTTCTGTCTGCTCTCAGGCTCTTCTTTTTGTTTTTGTGAAAGAAGCGGCATATGATAGGGCAGTTCCTTATGCTTTTTCTCTCTTTTGTGCTTTTTAGTTTTTTGTTTTTGCGGGCGAAGCCGCAACGGGTCATCTAGTTTTAACTGTTTTATTATATTATTATTATTATTATTATTATTATTATTATTTATTTTAATATTTTTTTGGCACGGCCAGGCAAGTGGTCCTGGGCCACTCTGGTAGCCTAGTTTTGTACTGATATACACACGTTGGGCGATTGCCCATCTCAATTGCTTGTAAAGAGAAAGGTTGGCTGCCATGTAGACAGCCGTAGACTGAATTGCAGACGATGACTGAACCATCCCTTCTTTTGAACTTTTACTGTTTTGTTATTCTGCTTTCCATCTTCTGCCCGTAAATGCAGAGATAGCGGATCCATGTTACAGCAATCCATGCGGAGAAGGCGGAATTTGTAATGCGGTCCTGGGAGGAGGATATCACTGTACGTGCATGCCTGGCTATGTTCTCCCACCGCAGTTTGCACAGTATGGAGGCCGTTGCTATGGTGAGTTGGCCGATTTTGGGGGACTCCAGTGTGGAAGTGGAGTACCTTTTTTTTTCTTTAATTTACTTCTATGGTTAATAAAAAAAGTGAATAATTTCTCTAGTTTTTTTATGCTTGGCATCCTTTGAAACGGTTTCACCCAGTTGACCCGACATTGCAGACACAGAGATTCGATCCCTAGACCTGTGCCCTAACCCTGTACATTGACCCTGTGTGCTGAGTGAGATTCGATCCCTAGACCTACCCTATACCTGTACATAGACCCAGTGACCTGAGTAGGATTCGATCCCTAGTCCTGCCCTACGTCCTAGGTTAGTCTGTAGGTTGGACAGTAGGACTTGATCCCTAGGTCTGTAGATCAGCAGTTGAGTCTGTTATCAGTAGTCCTAAACAGTCTGTTCTAGAAGTCTCCACCTGAGTCTACTGTGGGCCTAGAGTCTGTCTGTCGGTCTGTAGGTTCTAGAAGTCCGGAGGACCCTGTAGTCCAGTCCAGTCAGCAGGTACCTGGGTAGGGGCTGCACGTGGGGAAGGTTCTGGAGCACGTGGAGAGTTCCACGCGTTTTGGCCCAGAAGGCCCATGCGTTTGGAAGCTTCCAGGCCCAGGTTCACGTGTTCTGGAGGGACCCAGGCCCACGCGTTTTGGGGCAGGGCCCAGCCACCTCCGAAGAAGTATAAACAAACAGGGAGCGTCCAGCCATTCATTCATTCGCCTGTGAGCCATGCGGAAGTGCTGCCTTGGTAACTTGTGCGTGGAGGTTGCAGGTGCCCGAAGAGGAAGTGCGCAGTGAGGAAGACAGCGACCATAGCTGGCCAGTGAGGTGGACGACGGTGGCCATAGCCACCCAGCTGTTTGTGCAGACAGTGTGTGTGCGTGTGCCGCGTGGACATTCAGGGCGATGCTCATACGTGCGTGCATGTGAGAGTGAGGGAGAGTGAGGCTGGTGGTAGAGAGTCTAGAGACAGTGTTCGGTGGCCATAGCCGCAAGTTGTACAGTTGTTCTGAACAAGGTTTAAGAGCAAGTTCGTTGTTGATCCTGAGTTCACGAGTTTGTTTTGCCATTGGTTCTCATGTATGCATGTTGTGAGCAAGTCCAGAGTCGAGTCTGATTGCACCTTCCACAGGGCCCATGCTAATCTTCTCTGTATTGTTCCAATTTTAACAGATGTCCTGAACGATAGAAGCAGATTATCTTTCAGAAGAGATTTTTGGAATAGTGTTTTTCTTTTTTCCAGTTGTATTGCCCAACTTGCCTGCATCTCTCACTTACCATTGCCTGGTACTTACCCTGGGTGTTTAATTACTCCTTTCAATATCAAGCTGGGGGATGTTGAATTCTATGCCTCGCACCACTCTCTCATGTGCACTGTGGAAGTGGAAGAAGATATTTTACGAACAGCCTGTTCCTTTGGCAGTGATATTTGCACGAGTTTACGTGCATTTCTTTTTTTTCCCCGTTTCTTTACTCCATTTCAGTTGGGCCCAATGCCCAAGGCTATTACAGCAATCAAGTAGCGAATTTGTTCACAACAGCAGGGGCGACGGGGCTTTTTCTCTCCTCCTTCCTTTGTTCCTTTTTATTTGAAGGGTGATAACCTTGTCATATATCATCTTTGAACTGGCCAACTCAGGTAAACTCAAGAGTTATTTTCACTCGTTTGCTTTCATTGGAATTCGAACTCACATTCAACTCAGGTCTCCAATTCAGCAGTTTGAGCTAGGCCAGTTGGTGATGGAACTTTCTATCTTCTACCTGCATTTCTATCTTCATGTATCCTTCTATTCTACGGTAGTACACCGTATTGAGTCCTTAGGTACACCCATGAACTATTGAAATGAAGACCCAAATTCGGATTCAGAGTCCAGACGCACAAATTTCTTCTAAATCACCTTGAGCAGCTGAATGCAATGATGGTATCTCAGGGCCGTTGCCCTTCCATAAGGAAAAGACAAATAGAGAAAGAGAAAAAAATTCAAAAAATGAGGTAAAAAAGAAGGAAAGGGAAAAAAAAGACACTATACCATACCTGTGGCACATCACTTGCGCACGAGTTGCGCATGTGTCCACACATAGTGCACGCTCACGCATGTGCGCACCCATCATGTGGCGCAAGTACGGAAAATAGGGTCGATAAAAAAATGCAAAAAGGGCAGGCTGTGGTAGCCAAATGTGTCCCTTCCTTCTTAAAATTGTACGTGCACAGAAAAGAAAACATTGGGGCCACATTGTGTTCCTCATTGGATCCAGTCTCTTTTCAAAAGGGCCCCCAGCAGGAAATTAGCAAGAGTCCCATTTTTGGAGAGACGTTCATCGAAAATTCGAAATGCTGTTGGGACACGAGCACGCCAGCAATATATATTCTGGATGCGAATTCAGGTCTGTGTTCCAGCAGTTATGAGTTACTAACTCTCTACGAATACTGCAGTAGCTCTCTCTTTTTTTTGTTTTTCCTTTTGTTACGTGCAGTGGTGCTAAGGTCCTGGCTCCACTACTCACCACTTGCACAAAAGACAACATATGAAGGGGTATGGTTCCAGTTTCTAGCAGAAGACTCATTTAGTCTTGCACATTTGGTGAGTAGTGGAGTGAAGCCCTCAAAATCACATGTGGAGTTTGTGAGTTAGCAACCCATAACTGCTGAAACATGGACCTGAATTCGAAGCTACACCATATATAGTTGGCCTGCTACTGCCCTACTATAATGACTACCCTTTCCTGGCCGAGGAAACCCTTGCTAGTTTTTTGGCAGGGGCCTTTCAGAGTGCCAGCAGGGGTTTCCTGAATCATGTGAAAGGTCTCTCTCTCTCTCTCTCTCTCTCTCTCTCTCTCTCTCTCTCTCTCTCTCTCTCTCTCTCTCTCTCTCTCTCTCTCTCTCTCTGGATGTCGCATGTAATCTGGTTTGCATCGAACCTTAGCAGTGTCTTCCGACAAATTGGTTGGAAAAACGAAACTTGACAAAGCAAATTCTCTAATTGCAAAGGAAGGCACACTGGACTGCGAATCATGCAAGGAAGAGGGGAACAGAGACTGGAAATAACTTTTCTCCGACGTTTGCTCATGCTCATTTTCTACTGTCTTATCTGCAGGTCAAGATAGTTACGTGCCAGAGTTCAGGGCACAGAGCCAGCACTAAGTGTGCCATCGAAGATTGGACGGATAGCTTGGTATTGCCTGCACTTCCTCCATGTCAATGAGAAGTCATAAGGCAGCTGAGGCTTCCAAGTCCATCAATTCTTTGCAGAGCAGGGAGCTTTGGTAAAGCCCGACCTATGTAAAAGGAGCTGGTGTTGTACTTCCGTCTGGAAGAGGCAACTGATGGTCGAAGCCGCAGAAGGATCTGATGATAGGTGAGAAGGGAGCATTGGTGGATGAGAGATGGATAGGCTGAAGGTAGAAGGCCTGCAATGGATGCGGTGGCATTTCCAGGGACTTTGTTGATTTGTTACACGATTTGGTAGTTCAGGTGTTTAACGGAACTTTAACCTATGAACTTAGCTCGGCAGGAGCGATGGTAGTTGTTCCTTGTCAGACTCAAGATCTGCATCTGGGTTTAGGGTTTAGTCCAGTTGATTTGCTCTTTGGCTCTTTGAGTTGTTGCTCTCGGTTTTTGTGGATGCCTACTTCTCTGTTGATCATTGGCTCCTCTTCTTGATCATGCCGACAATGACGATGATAACCTCCCTAGATGAAATGTGTTGTTGGGTACAGCTGAATGTCCTTCTCTCGTAACCGAAGGGCAGTGCTACGGATGAGGCTCAGGGCTGGATCCCTGAACCTCACCCGTAACGGGCAGGGTATCTCATTCTTTCCAGCCATTATGCATTTCAGAAAAAGAAAATGCAGATCAGGGAAAGGGTAACTTGTGCCTGAAGGCCCTCCGTACCGCATCTCCTTTGCTGGGAACCGTATTGACGGCCAATCGTCACACAAGGAGCGATTTGTGAAGTTGCGATGATGATGAAACTTACCATACTCTAGCATAATCACCATGCCTGCTTGCGCTGCATTGCGGCACTGCATCATATAACTAGCTATCGTGGCTCCTCTGGTCAATTGGTTGTGTTGCAGAATGGCATAGCTATCGCGGTCCCTTGGGTGGATGATTGGTCTTCAGAATCTTGAGTAGCTCGAGCGTTTGGGTATGTTGTAGGATGATCGCAATGCGCCCTTCATCATTGGGGGATTGGATGTCACAGCACTGTACAGGAAGGAACAGAATTGGTAGCTGCATGGGTTTCACATGATCTTGGTTAGCATTTCTGCGGGCAAGAAACAGAAGAGGTCTGATGTAGAGCTTTGGAAACAGAGTGAAGGAAATGTACAGAGCAACTAGAGTACAAGCGGATTGCCTGTGCGGAAATGGTAAGGGAGGGCAACTAGAGTACAAGCGGATTGCCTGTGCGGAAATGGAAACAGAGTGAAGGAAGGGGGCGCTCAAGAGTATACTTGCGAATATCATGCGGTGTGTTTTGGGAAATCCTGCGGGAAGATAAGAGCAGGGAGGCGCGGAATATTGGTGGGGGGAGCGGTATTTCCAGAGTGCCTGTGATGGAGGACACACACAGATTAAACTTCAAGGAAGGTTCTTAGAGATAGCGAGAACGCATAGTGACATGTTGTTGGCTCGTTTGATCTGGTATGGTATTAATCCCAGCTACAGGGCAGTTGATGGGAGTTTATATAGCACAGGCAGGCAGCAGGTGGTCAGGCAAGAATGCACACATGCAGGCAGACATCGCTGTTATAGTAGAATATTGCTTGAAATGCCATAGTTCACCTTTTCATTTCGGATAAGAATATGCCCATGAGTGTTTCTCCCTCCCTTGTTTTTCCCTTTTTCCCTTTTCTTCACCTTTCTGTATTTGACTTGAACATCGTTGCCACTCAATTAATTGGAAATGTGACCAAAGCTTAGTTCTTGCAAAAAGGAGGTTATCATTGTAAAGTTTTTATCTCTTTCGAACTTGAGTTGGATTGCTGAGCAATAGCTACCTGAATACGCAGAGAGAGAGAGAGAGAGAGAGAGATTGTAAGCCCTTTGTTTGTTTGTTTGTTTTCGGTATTGCTTGCCTTTGGAAAGTGGTGACGAATTGAACACAGTGATTCGGGTGGAAATCATTTCTGACTCAAACCTGGCTGCTTAATAGTGTTTATCCTTTATCTGCAGTTCAGTTCGCAGGGAAAGCAGATTTGAGTTAAAAGAGTCGTCAGCACAAAGAGAACTCTCTCCATGCAACCATGTGCCGTCCGTTTTGCGGTGGCATGGATGATTCATCCGGATTTCTTCCTGCAATGATCACGAGGGTGTGTTGCCATTTCCTTGTTTTTTTCGAGTCTCTCGTCTTTGAAATCCACGTCGTGTTCAGTTCATGTCGGGAGTTGTTCAAAGTTTGCTGACATTGGCCATGCAGTGGGTAAATCAAGCTATGGAGAGGGAAGGCTGCACAATGTTTTTGGTGGCCGCTGGACCTCTAGTTCAAGTCCCTGGCCTGTTCTGCCACTTCGAATTGACAGGAAAGAGGGAAAGTTGAGAATCAGTTTGCCGCGGCAGTGTTCACACTGGTGACAAGATCTCTCTTTTCTTTTTCCCTTTTGCGCTATGAAACTAGTAAGTTTTCAATGCGAGAATTCATAAAGAAAGAGGGGCACTCATTTGCAACAACCCAAATGTAAGAGCTTCGAAGAGGAAGAATAAGACAAGGGAAAAGAAGAATGGAGAATACGAATGATAGACGCAGGCTGGAGCCACCTGCGCCAAAGTCACTTCTTGCGCATCTCGCCTGCGTCACTCCTCCCTCATGAACTCTGCCATCATCTTATTAGCAATAATACACAAAAACAGTGAATGGAGGACCCATAACAGTGCTTGCTTTGTCCTTTTTCGCGCTGATCACGAAGTCTACCAGCTTGAATCTGTCATCAATGGAGCAAGGGATCATGGGGACGCAATCAGGAATGAAGTAGGAGTAGTATAGAAATAGATCTTGGAGGCTTGAATGCTGAATATGTGCGCAGATGGTGTCCTTCCATTCAGAATTGACGAAAAATCCTGCATCGAGATCACTGAGAAGAGTTTTAGTGGGGGGGGCATATTGCAAAATGTACTTCTCGAACTCGAGTATGACCAATTCATTCTGTGGGGGTGTGTGGCAGTACTGGAATCAGTCAGATTAAGGAACTCGGTGAAACGATCAACGTAAAACCATTACTACTAAGTAAAGTAACCCCTTTTGCTTACCGTTTTTTCCCTATAGAGAGAGACTCAGCAGGCGAGGACGGGATAGGCGAGGGTTTCAACAGACTGAGGGGCTGTTGCAGAGGGACTGCACACCATTGGCAGACCATGCGCTGGACCAAGAACGCTCAGAGAGATCCTTCATTTAGGGCAAATAGAACTGCTGCATCAAACTCCGAGAATGAGACAGATCCATGAAATGTGTCCAGAGGGGTGCATAATTAGGAATGCACAACCCGTCAAACCTCTCAGACCTCGCACTCCTAATTAGGAATGCGCAACCTGTCTCAATCGGGAAAAGGGTGATACGACCTGTGGAATTCCGTCCAGCGGACGCCTGTTTGAACATCTGCAGTCACTAGGAAAGGGAGTTCGGGATCTGCTATGCCGAGCACAAGAAGATTCACCAAAAGAAGACAGGTTTCAACAGTTCAAAGGCGCAGTCACACATACGTCACTCTCATGTAAAAGACAATAATCTTTACTAGTCAAGAGGGGCAAAGGGCAAGTGATGGCTGAGAACTGCCCAATGAAGTTGCCATGACAGAAGAAGGCTAAACCAAAAAAAGAGTGTGAATCATGCAGATTCTGAAGTCAAGGCCAGTTTTGAATGGCCTCCATCTTGGTCGCCTCGGGACCTTTCTTTGACCACATCCCTTGCCTGAGTCCCATTTCTCACCCCCAGACACCACATATTACCACAAACACAGACTTCGATACAAATGCAGAGTTGCGGTTGGTGCATGTTGTACCTTTCCTCAAACCACTAGTACGTCTCCCAGCCATTTTGCAGAGACGTGGCATCCAATGCTGGCGCGCGGTGCGGGATGCTCAGGGGTGCCCCTTCACCCCAAATATATCCAGACTAATGGGGTCTTGCATGCAATCTGTATTGCCTGGATGGATTTCGGGCGAAATGGCACGTGGCAGATCCTGCCAGATGAGCCAACGAGCCAGCATGCACGATACGTTTCCGAGGCACTTTTGCAAGGCTCGTTCCCAAGCCACTTTTCTCTGGGTGCGAAACTTATTGGTGGTTTAAACCACGAGGACTTCCAAGGCACTTTTCTCAGGGGATGGAAATGGCATGTGCGCCAAAGGAAAACGAACCCGCATGAGCTCCTATTGCCTGGCGCCGCCAGTCATTTTGCTCCGGAGGCCGAGCCCTGAAAGTCTCCCCAGCATGCATGCCGCATATTTTATTCTTTGGCTGGGAGACATACTGGTGGTTTAAACCACCAGTACTTGCTTGCAGCGTTGTCGAGCGGGGATCCCCGGGGGCAAAGCCGGTGTGAGGCTGCGGACCCCGGACCCCCGCCGCGGGGGCCATCCAACCCCGCCACCGCCGGACGACCCCCGCCGCGGCCCAGCCCCGGGTACCCCGCCGCCTAACCCCGCAGGCCCGCCACCGGCCCC